GCATATTGAGTCAATTTGAGCGTAACACTTTGCGTTCGTGTTTAACGAGTTGACGCAAGTTAACTTTTGTTGAATCGCACATTTTACTTGGGAAACTTTTAAGAGAAATCGGTGACCCTGTGCCCCAAACGAGTAGTGTTGTGTTGTACTCATCCGTTGACGATCCTGACAAAATGATGTTACTCACTCCTTTGGCAGTGAGCAGTTTATCTAAAGATAGAGGACAGATAGGATTGATTTTCACAAGTGTGCTGCATAATTACACTGTAATTTTTTTTATTCATCCATGGTGCAACGGTTACTGCACCGCATTTGCAATTCAGTTGAAACGGTGGGACATGTTTATTCAATCTTCCCGCCTCTGTTCACTCATCAGGTCACACGTGGTAGAGCAAAGTGTGGAGTCCTCCCACCTCTTCCAAGACGTCTGACCAGTGTGGAAGAATAGGCCAAGTACCCTCTAGCGAGGCTTTCTAGAGCTCCATCTGGTGGAGGTCCTTCCAACAGTGGCAGCAAAACATTGCAGGGCTGCACTTTAATCTCATTGCAATGTAAATTAAAAAGAAATCCAAATCACTGGGATACCATATAATCAAATTTTTATCGTTTGATAATATAAGGCGGGTAAACATCAAATAAATACGTCACACGTGAATATGCTTCATCGGCCGTAGCTCGCTTGCAGACGTTTTCGTCGTGACGTTGACTTTCGTTCTCGAGGTGCGTCGGCATTGTTTAAATCCCTCGGGACGAGGGGCGGTGGGGGTGACGGTGGGCGGGGAGCTGTTACGCCATTCCGCTTGGAGAGATAATATTAGAAAGTCCTTGGTTGCTTCCTCTCCCGTGGCCGGCTGGTAGCGGCGGGATGCCGCACGTGATTTATCAGCGCGTTCATCGCACTCCACTTTCAACTGCGCCGGGCGCTAACGCTAACGCTAGCGGAGAAAGAGAGAGAGAGAAAAAAGGAAACGATCGATTCCGCGGGCGGGCCGCGAAGCGCCCGTCGCTCCGTAACGTTCGACAGGAACGGCGGGATCGATCAACGATTGAAAACGATACGAGACGGTCACGGCGATAAAGGAGGGCCCCCCGACGGGTGACGGCTTCGCTCATCCTTGTAAGCGGCGGGGTAACGGGGCCCTCTGGAGCGAACGTTTTGAGCCAATCGGCCCGCTTCCGTTGGCGGGTGTCGCCTCTGTATGCGTGTGCGTGTGCGCGTTGAACTTCTTTCACGCATCGTACGTAGCCAACCATGCTAATCGGAGGTTGCTTTACCGCCGTGATCTAGGTTTGAGTTGCGAACGGGGAGGATCGATTTAAAAGCCCCCGTGGCCTCGGCCGGCTATTCGTCCACGGGATTTTTTAAGTTTGACGATTGTCCCGATCCGTGGAGCTTGTCCAGCGCATGCTCTCTCACGTGCAGAGCGGTTCGAGAATTGCGTTCGTGGAACTTAATCGCATAGCGCCATCAAGTCTGGGATGCTGATGAGCAATCACAGCGGCAGCCAACACAGCCACGTCGATGTTTTGCCGACGATCATCTTTTCGTGGGTATTTTTGCCAAATGATTAATTGCCCTTGACTTTGGAAACTGATTGAGCACCTAAGCTCACAGGTGGGATTTTTTTTCTCCGTTTTTCTTCACATCTAGAGACAATATCATTATTTTACACCACGATCGAGCCAACGGAACGTTTGTTCAGAGCCCCTGACTTGGCGATTCGATGGGTCGTATCAGCGCAGACCTCTGCGGAGTCTTCTGGCCTGCACTCCGGTGAAACAGCAGGGCCCTGAAGAAAGAGGCTGCTGCACAATTCACGATGGACCTGCGAACGCTTTTGTAAAAAGAAAAAAAACGGCTGGAAATTCTCGGGCTGTGAATAATTTGGTCGGGGAGCGTACGCCATCTCCGTTTGTTCAATCGGATTTATGCCGCTGCCACGCCGTTTGTTTCCATGCTGGTGTGAAGCCGGGGGGGGTCCGATGTCCCGAACGGCACGCGTCAATCGCGACCCGGCTTTCCTTGACCCGAACCCACCGGTCGCCGCGCCGTCACACGTCCGCGCTCGTTTCAACGCGGGTCCCGCGTCTATTGCTACGGCGGTGCTCGGAGGATGCGAAAAACTGGAAATGTTGACAAGTAAAAACAATACAATAGAACAACACATATACCCCCCCCCCCCGCCTGCCTCTGATGAGTCCGGTTTGCCAGATATCATCCAAGCCCCTGGTAATGCGATCCAGAACGTCAGGATGTTGCAATGTAAGGAGAGGATGTGGAATAAACCATTTTTTTTATTAAAGAACACACACAACGCGTTTATTTTGTTTAACTGGCTGCGAACTCAAGAGAGCAGGATAGTCACATTTGCGAGAGCGTCTTGCCGATGATTGCTGGGCATCGTCCCAACTGAGTGATTTGTGGTTTCATTTGACAAGTTGGCTCCCAGATGCCGCCACACAGTGGCCTAATTCTTGCGAATGGCATCAGGGGATCTGGAGTATCATCACTGTGTAACATGATTTTTCTATTCTTTGGTTCTTTCGGTAATGTCACGTAGGTATTAAATAAAAGAAAATATTTTTTTATTATTAAAAATATATATATTTTTGTTTAGATTTTTTTTCTTTTATTTTATTTTATACCTACGTGACTTTACCGAAAGAACCAAAGAGTATGGAACATTGCAGTCACGAAAACTTAAGATCTAAACCCGATTTTTGTTCCTGGGTAGTAAATGTTATTTCCTAATTGCTTATGCCTCAAAAGTGCAGAAAATGGCTATTATTCCCCACAAACTTTGCTTTTGTGACCAGGACTTTACGTGAAGGAATGACACAAATGCACACCACGTTTTCCCATTGAAAATAGGTACATTTCAAAATATCACTGTCCTGGTCACAAAAGCAAAGTTTGTGGGGAATAATAGCCATTTTCTGTATTTTTGAGGCATAAGCAATTAGGAAATAACACTTACTACCCAGGAACAAAATAAATATTTTTTTTGTTCCACAGCCTTCTGATTATGATGCAGCCATGTAATGTATGCATGTACATTGCCAACCATGCGAATTGAACACCCAAAAGCACTTCTAAATAAACGAGTTTGTCAATCTAGACGATGATTTGAAAGTGCATAGCTCCAGTGGCTTCCTAATATCGGACGGAAGAGCGTTCCAGACGGCCGCAGAAGCCCATCTGCAACTCGCGGCGAACGGAGCGCTACCACTAGGCCGTGTACCTGCCCGGTAGTAAAAACATTGTAATAAAACTGGCATATCCAGGATTATGTAATTGTGTTATGTCATTTTTCCGGTTTGTTATTGTTCCCCTAAAAATCAACGTCTAGTTTTTTTTTGTTGTACCTTCCAAATAAAACAAAAAGGCAAAATTAAAGGAGTCTTGGTCGCAGGGATGTTGCGCCGTGCATTTCCAAAGTTGACTTCTTTAAAGGAAACTCGCCCGCCTCCCACGCGAACGAAACGTCTCCGTGGAGTTTAACTCCGCCGTGCCGCGGCCGACAATGTGCTCGAAGGCCTGCGAATAATTAAAGAGCCGTTAGCCGCCTGATAGATTAGATCGAGTTCCTGTGCGAATGGACTATTGAGTGCATTTTTCCCAGGAAAGGTACAAGCACTTTGTGACTTGAAAGGTACAATCTGTTCCTCATACAACTGCCACACATGGCTACTATCACGTGGACCAAGCGTGGGGATTTTTTTTTTGTTGTGGGGCCGCATTTTTTCATTTTTCATTTCTCGACGATCTTTGCCGTTATCCTCAGCTGCGCTCCGGCGTTAACGCAAACACGCACTCCTGGCTGTCGTTCAACTAATTAGAACGTCCCCTTGGGGAAATCACAGTCCGTCCGCGTAGCACATTCAAGTTATCTACTAAAAGACTGACCTAGACATCCCCGCAGAGTTCTGAAAGAAGGGAAACCCAATCCCCGAGTCGCCATTAACAATGCATTATTATTTAAATATAGCCACGTTCATACCATTTGTCAAATGTCGCCTCTGCAAGGTTATCTACTCCGCATCGGCAGTGAGTTGTTTCTCAGCGTGCGTGTTGCGTACTGCTGCTCTTACTCCACACAACGAGCGCAGCGTGTGTATGCAAGTGCACATCGTGTGTGTGTCTGTGCAACGGTGGCTTAGCGAGTGGTCCGTGCACATTTCAGCAATTCCAGCAGCGCAAGTTAAGATTCTTTCCTGGCCAAGCACACCCTTGTCCGTCACTATTATCATTATTAAAATCTGGACATTACACCGCTCTTAGGTTGACTCGGCCCAAATATGATCACCTGGTAAGGTTTTCGACCACCAGCACTGAGGATTTACACAAAGGCAGCCTGGCCTGAATGGACCTCCGTGTGCAGCTGTGACCTAAAATTGGCGGCAGGGCGTTGCAGCCGTAACACCCATGACTCACAGCAAGAAGGGCCTGGGTTCGACTCCTGACTCAGGCCCCTTTCTGCGTGTGCAGTTTGTATTCTCTCCCCCATGTTCTGCATGGGTATCCTCCGGGTTCTCTGCTTTCATCCCATAGGTAAAACATAATACTCGTGCAATGTTACTGGCATTGGCCAAGACATCCCAATTATGAAAATTTACCCGCAAATTACTCTCCAGTAATTGGTATCACAAGGAGCAACCATAGCCCCCCAAATGCAAATGCTTGGCAGGACCCTCCTGAAAAAGACAGTCCTGAGACTCGATGAGGCTTCCTTGCGTAAACAAGCAAAATGATAAATAGTCATGAAACGCTGCTCACTAAAAACGTCTGTGATAAAAAAAGAGCTCCATAGCTTATCGGATTTCTCCACAGACAAATACAGATTCTGATCAAGATTCTGAACGACACTTGCCACAGGCAGCCCCCGGTATGGAAGGGCTACACAGAAGATCTTTGTCTTCGCAGTGCGTGGATTTGTCGAGCAGTGTCACGGATACCTCGCTCTTCTTGCTCGCTCATGCATGATTAATTCTCTTCACAGAGATTTGAGCAACAATCAACTGGAGGACATTGATGCCAGCGCTATGATGAGCCGCCTGCTAAACCTGAAGGAAGTGTAAGTATTTGCTCCGTGTCCGCCAACAACTCGGCCATCGTGTGCGGTTCGCACGCACGTACAGCGTGGGGGGAAACGTTACAAAGCGTGGTGCTTTCTCTCTGCGCGCACACACCCTCGCGCATTGGCCTTCTCACGAATGGTTGCTGTAGGAAAACGGCACGGAGAGCAATCGTGAATGTGAAATATTGTTAACGTAACAAAAAAAAAGTCAAAATTCTGTTACCTTATTTTGTATTCATGAATCCGTACAATGCGTGGCTTTATTTTAAGTTACATAATTGTTAGCGCTTTAATTATGATTAATTTTGCGGGTTTTTTTTTCCAGAATACATTGGCAAATCGTTTACATTCGGACATTATGCTCAAGTGTTGGAACCATCGTCAATACTGATGTTTTCCCCACGTTAATTAAACACGAAGCTAGTGCCAAATAACGTCACACGGCTCGTGATGAATGTTGATTGCCCCAAACACACCCAAAATTAACGACACCTTTGTGAGTAGGTTCAACGTTGCTGTAGGAACAGCCGATTATTATTTTCTTCTTTTTAAATCAAGGCGTGCAACATTTCAACGCAAATATGTACTTGGGAACCGAGGCCTGTAAATCAGTGTTTGGGTGCAGGAATGTTGCATCTGTATGGCCTTATATATTGGCACGAATGTGTGCTATTTTATTTTTAAAATATTTTTTTTCATAAAAATATATCAAAACAAATGTCACAAGTCTAAAATAATATTAATGCACCCTTGCCTCCCACGCCTGCATGAAGGTTTTTCTTTTCTCTACACTGCTCTGAAATTTTGAAATAAATGTGCCAGCCCCTGGCCGGTCGGCGGGGCGAGTGTTATATTGACCAGTTGTTTGAAAATAAGTTCGCAGGCTGCCCCGTAGCTGTAAAGCGTCGTTGGAGACCTGCCTGCCAGCAACGAGCAAAACAATGGTGGGGTTTTTACCTTCGAAACGGTGGGGGGGGGGGGGGGAAACAACGGAGGCTCTGTGTCACTGCCAGTGCCGATGTTTACCTCCGGTGGTGAATGCATTTTCGTATTGTGTACCTAATGGGGCATATTAATTATTGGGTGTCTGCCTAGTCTGCTTGAAAATGGCGTGCGAGCAGCTGAATGGGTTTAATGAATTGACTTTTCAGCCTATGGTTATAGTAGTTTAGCGATGTGTTTATTCACGCTGCTTATAACTCCCGTCTTTGTATCGCTTTTTTTCTTCTTTCTTAAATTCACTCGAGTATATTTCGCTTGTGCGGGTCAGAGTTGTGACAGGAGATTAATAAATTTCCAAGTCGGCGCTCTTGCTGTGCCAGAAAGCAGCCTCCCCAAAAGATGGCTTAGGAAGTCATTTCAGTCGGCCTCTTTATCCACTCTCTATGTGCCTATGTTGAACTTCTTTCGCACCGTACGTAGCCAACCGCGCTAATCGGAGATGCGGGGGAAGGACAAGAAATTAAACACAAACGGATAGTTCCAAATAAATGAGTTTTCAATATCGATGATTTAAAAGTGCACAGCTCCAGTGACTTCCTAATATCAGAAGGAGGAGCGTTCCAGACGGCCACAGAAGCGCATCTGAAAGTGAGCGATGGCGGTGACCGTCTTTGTCCGGTGGCTAGCCAATAGCTGCTCCAAGGATGACCGGAGTTCGAGTGCTGGTTTACGGAAAAATGTTCATCGCATGTAATTAAAACCAAACGTATACGTTTTCAGAGCTAACATAAGCTGCGTTAAGTGAAAAAAAAAAATCACATTTAATATAATGAGTTTTTTTTTTTGTCCAGTGATGGATCGACTGGGCCGAGACCTTAAATTCTCTACACTTGAGAACTTGGTTTAATCTTCTTGGTTCTTTCGGTAAAGTCACGTAGAAGGGAAGTAATAAAATAATAAAATAAAACATAATAAAATAATTCTCACGACGTTTCGGCCACAACACAAGCAGCCGTCCTCAGGAGAAAACCAGGTTTGTCGGGGCGACAGCGTCTTTACCGAAAGAACCAAGAAGATGAATCCCTGCAGTCACGAAAGCTTTAAATCGAAATTTAACTTGGTTTAATCACCGGGCGGCTGAATCCCAGATTCCGTCCCAGGATTTTGTGAGCGCTGGCTCAGTGCACGGTCTAACCCTCTGAGCCGCCTTGTCCTTCCCACTGATTTTACACAAATCTATTCAGGGTTAAATCTCGGGATAGATTCGCAAAGCTTGACATCCACTTCAATAGTCAAGGCTTAATTGCAGCCTTCAACAGTCAAGTGTCCAATGCCATTGACCTGAGGCATTGCCTGTTGTCCCGGTCGAAGGATGAGGTTTTCATCACGGATTCTTTTTTTTCCACATCGAGTAACTTGTCCGCCTCGAGTTAACGTGTGCTGCTCATGCACCACCCTCGCAGGAGGAACGAGAGGGGGAGAGAGTGAAGAAAAGAACACTCCACAAGCTACGCTTTTGTGCTGGCCACCAACCCAGACATGCCCTTGTCCCTGTTTGTCACGTGATACAATAATACGACCCTCATCTATATTGCATTCCTGCCATGTTACAACCCAAGCCACATTACAGCCTTGCTCGTGTGGGAGGCCGCGCACAGACTCGCGTCTTGATTCAATAAGCCCGAACTCGCACTGCCGATGAATAGGATCACTGTGAATAGCCGCAGTAATGCACGCGACTGACTGCGTGTCCCGGATATCGATATAAGCACTGCTTGTGTACGCACACCGGCGCTACCTCCAGGAACTGATACTATTTTTGTTGGAAAAGGTCAGAGGGCAGAGACCTTGAAGCTATTCGAGGCTTTCCCATATCGCAGGCATGCCACCTTGCCAAGCCATGCATGAGATTTTACTTTTTAGCGTTCAAAATTTAATAAGTTCTTATCCATTTGACTTCGTCATCAAAAGGGAGTAGCCTCAAGCTCTGTTTAGGGTTTGAAATTAGTTGATTAATTCTCATTCGTGGTATATATTATCTGTGTTGTTTAACTTTTGACCACCGTATTTGTCATGATTGGACGTTACCTTTACCGTAATGATGATTGCTATTGGCTTTTATCATGGCTAGTCGGAATTCTTTCTATATTGCGAGTATAGTCGTCTTTACTGCTACTATTATTCTTGTCTTTGACTGCATTTCTCTCAGATTTTATCTGTACTAGTGAGTCTAGTTTTTTCTTTTTTTAACATACAGCACTTGTATATATTTTGATATGAGAGGCGCTTTTTAATATTAAGGTAATTGCTATTATTACACCATCACTTACCGAATAATTATCTCAAACACCGGGTGCTTTGGTGCCTCCATATATACTGTGTGGGAGGCACATGGTGCAATATACGTAATAAACGATGATCGCCATTGTCAGCGATCATCTGCCCATGGCGTGGCCATCCTTCAAGGCTTTACGATCTCACAATCCATATTGTACATCCTGCTCAAGCACGATGCCGGTCTCCTCGCTCCATCTCCATGCTGGATGTCAATCTTGGGTGCGTTGGTTTCTCCGTCAGTTTTACATTCCTTCGCAATTACTCGGCCCGAATTCGAGTTTCAAGTAAAACATTTTATTTTGCTCGACCCCCAGATGAGAAAGTCGAGCAACCAAGGACAGCAGAAATTTCATACACGGTCACAAAAATGGCAAAAAACAAACAAAACATCTAATAAAATTACAAACAGTGAAGTGAATCGGAACGAAAATTAAATATGAAAAATAACAATAGGTTATCTACCCTTTCTTAACACCTGATGTATTGCCAGAAAAGGTAAAACCTATTCTTATTTTTCATACTTAGACGCTGGAAAAAATGCCAGCATCAAGCAAAATAATTGGCGCCGACCCTGTCCAGAGATGTCCTGCCCAAGTCAACATTATTATTTTTTATTATTATTTTTATTATTATATTTTAAACTTGTCAACATGGGTGTCTCTAATTGTGGCTTTGGTCCCTGACCTACAAGTGCCTCTGCTGAGTTATCAATGCAGCTGCCACCAACGTTACCGTGGTGACGTTGCTCTGCCCGCGACGACTGAGGAAAAAGTTTTCTACTTTTGTAAACACAAAACAAACAAATAAACAACCCCCCCCCCCCTCACAGAATGGTATTGTCAAAACATCTCAATGTTGGGAGATTACTTGGACATTACTCAATTGGGATTACGCGCAGCAGCAGCAGCAGCAGCATCGCCCCCTTACCACGAAAACTTGGCAGGACCCTCCTGAACAAAGAGACTTGAGACTCGGTGAGCCTTTCCAGGGTTAACAAAGAAACGTAAAACAAAAGCGACGGTCATAGGCGGAGTTTGGGGGGTGGGGTCGGGGGGGGGCAGAGGGGGTTCACTTTGTCCCTCACATTAGGAATCGTTGTTGCATATAGTACAATTATTAATTTCTAATCTTCATTGTGAACTATTGAAAAAAAAAATTGTCCAGTTGGGGGGGGGGAGGGGGTGGCATTGCCCCCCGTGCCCCGCTCCCCCCACCACACCAAACTCCTCCCATGACAACGATCCTTTATTTTCTATCTCTCTATAAAACCTGCGGTGTGATGTCTAACGACGGAGCCTCTCCGTCTTCCTCAATCTTCAGCGTCTCTCAAACAGGAACTCCGGTGCGACCGCTCGCCTCGTCTCTACGCCTGATCCCTTTCCTTCCTCTTCCCCCTCTCTCCGTGCAATTCTCATTTCTTCAGAATTAAGTTTCTACCTATCTCCAGCTTGTGACCCTCTTAGATATGTCCCACATACACCTCCTGCCTTCACACCTCGAATTCTCATGGATTCTTTGCTTCCCTATCGGCACATTTTTCAGCTCTAGACTTATCGCACCAGCGTTGTCTTTCCGTTCTTCCGTAACAACCCACGTGTCAAACACATCTAGTCTTTGTTGCGGGCAAGCGAACTGAATTCAACCGCATCATGAGTCAACTCTATTCCACTCCGTGTCTGCCATGTGCATGCTGTACGTAATTATCCATTCCCATTTGTCAATAATCATAGAGTACAATATTATTCGTCGGGTTAACATACAAACTTCAAACAAACAACTTGCACAGGTCCGGCTGGTGTGCACTGAGGCATTACCACTTGACTGGCAATTGACTGACAAATTGCAAATGTCACAAATTCAAGTCGTCCGTCGGTGGCCTACTCGTGCCAATTATCCCTGCACGGATCACAAAGCGAAGGCCACTGTATGGGACATCAACATCTGTGTGCAGCGACTGGTCCCTGTCATGGGAACGTGGAGTTTCCACTGCTAGCTCGTTGCTGCTGACAGTGACACTTTGACTTGACTTTAATAACTGCGCGAAGGATTCGTATTGTGAAACTATTTTTTTTTAATGCACGTTTATACGCTTAAAGTTTCGCGCTTCACGGCGAGACTGCGTGATTTGAGTCCGTTTTGTTGGGTGATGCCGATGCTGATGCCGCCGCTGCGTTGGCAATGGGTGCACAAGCACACGTAACAACAAAACACAAAAATATACACAATAGGCAACGTTTCAGGCAATGACCCTTCTTTAGGCAATGGATTTATGTGCTTTGAAGAACGGTCATTGCCCCGAACGTTGCCTGTCATACATATATATTTTTTTCCTTTTAAGGAAATGTTATTGATGAATGTGTTGAGTTTTTATAATCATCATCCATCCCCCTTTATTGTTATGTTCTCTGCGGTGATGTAGAGGCTCACGTGGTTGATGCCTGTGACCCGGGAGGTACCAAATTCAATTCCCAGCCAAAGTGGGAATCCCATCTATTTAATAAGTGGGGGAGCGGTGGCGTACTGATTCACAACGCTGCCCTACGAACCCAGTGACCTGAGTTTGATTTCCAGCCAGGGCTAAAACTAAAAACTAAACTTTGTATTTTTAACCAGGTAAGGCCCACTGGGCTATATAGCTATTTTTTCAGAAGCAACCTGGATATCGCAAATGATAGCCAAACGAAGTGCCTTACCACATGGAAATTTATAGCAGCCAAATAATCTGAACGCGTGTTGATTCTAAACCGGGGGACCCGGGACGAAAATCCACGTGACCACGGGGAGAACATGCAAACTCAAAATATTCAGGCGTCAGGGTCGGTATCGAACCCACGACCTCCTGTATACCAAGCGAGGTAGTTAACATTTCGCCACCGCAGCGCCCCTAACATCACTGGCAACTGACCTCTGCTCCGGCCCTGCTCCTAACCCTATTTACCAACCTGTATTGACCAGCATGGTGAAGTATGGTCAAACAACCCCAATGGCTGACCCGACATTGCTCCAGAAATGCGTTGACCCAATCGAAGAGCTGAAACTAAAATAAATAAATGTGCTCCCAGTAAAAATGGGAATGCCCTTAAACCGGCTGGCTGACAGTTTGCTTGTGGTGGGGTGATGTGTGGGTTTCCACACCTATTCCAGTCTGTTTGGACAGTGGTAATATAGGCTAAGGGTCCCTTGCAAGGTAAAGGCCTCTTGACTGCGGGAGCCTCAAGTGCTGTTTGCAGGTCATACCTCTGCCTTTCACTTGTTTTACCTCAGTAAATGAGCAGCGTCTTTGCAGATAAGGGCTCGATTGCTTTATTGTAGCAATAGACCCACAGCAGTAGAACACTGTTTCCTGATTTTAGCCAGGGAGGCCGTGTCTAGTAATACTAATAATAATCTCAACGTGTAACACAGCACAGCGTTCGTTCATTCTCAAGGCGAGAGAATGATTCGGTGGTGTGAGGAGGAACCACTGCCAAAGGGTGGAAAGGCAGCAGCTGGGCAGTCAGCCGACGCCTCCGTTTAGCACGGTTGGCTACGTACGGTGCGAAAGAAGTTCAACATACACGCATATACACACTGCAATACATCCCCGCTGCCCCACCCTCAAGCTCTGTTGTCCTCTATACATTAAGGTGTTTCGGCCAATTTATGAGTGTTTACCACTGATCAGCACGGTTGGCTACGTACGGTGCGAAAGAAGTTCAACATACACGCGTACATGTGGGAGGAAACTGGAGCAACGGGGGGGGGGCGGTGGGAAACACTTATCTGTACTTTTGGTGTTTTTTTATTGAACTTTGTGTGATGTCATTCTTTGCAATGCAATATTTGAACGTGTTTTTGTCCTGCTGTATGATGCGCGTTAATGTATCTTCTCTCTTCTCCCCGTGTCGTCTTTAGGAAAGTGGCTCACAATGAACTCACAGAAATAGCAAGCTTTGGAAAATCGTCTGAAAACATCACCGTCTTATCATTGTAAGTAAAGATAAGGTTTCGGAATGTAATTAAACAGTACAAACTTGCAGAATGGAATTTAATGCAGTAACAGCATTTGCAACTGTATCCCATTTTTAAGCCATGGATGCTACCCGTATGCTGTCAGATTTATCCATCTTCGAGACACATTCAACAAAAAATAACCACGGATTTCTATTGGGGGGTGATGGATTGCATTTTTTTCGCTGGCATATGGTTACTACCTCGCCTGGTGTGCAGAAGGTCGTGGGTTCGATCCTGACCCTGACGCTTGCTGCTGTATATTTGGAGTTTGGATGTTTTCGCCGTGGTCGCGAGGATTTTTCTCCGGGTCCTCCGTTTTTCCCTTCCACATTTAGTGACACCACGCGTTAAGAGTATTTGCCCACTGTGCAATATCTCACAGTGGGCTTTACCTGGTAAAATACAAAATATTTAAGTGTTTTTTGTAGGTACTTTGAATATTGTAATGTTTACTCGTGTGTGTGTTTACTTGTTGTCAATGGGAGTAAAAACCTTTCCTATCGTTTATTTTGACGTGCCATTTTTGCGAGTTCCAGGTTCATGGTATAATTGCAAACAAAATTTTTGTACAATGAAATTCGCGTTGTGTGCAATGTATGTGCGTTACACACACGCGCAGCTGCGTCACATCTCCCATGGTCTGGATTTGATCGCAATCAATTGCACATCAATTGCAATTACTGTGTTGGTACCAACAGATCTCCCCTAGGTCAACTCAGGCTAAAGGGAATAATGAACGTTGTGTATTAATGCCGCCATTTAAAGAACGCAAACGCAATGGACTCTTTCCCCTTTCATGAGGCGTTAAGGATATAATCGGCCGCTCGCTAATAATCCTGGCCTCGCAGAAAAAAGTTCACCACGTCAAACAAAGTGGACCTTTGTCTTTGCGTCTGAGCACGCGTGTTCCTGGGCCGCCTTTGCATGTGTGTGGTTTCCACATGGTTACACATGTCCGTGCGTGTATCAGCTGTGCATGCTTTCACATGTCTGTCAGTGTATGCATTGGCATGCGCAAGTGTCTACACACGCATGCGTGCGCGTGCGTTAAGGGGAGCGGTGGTGCAGCGGTTAGCGCGCTGCGCTATGAACCTGGCGACGCGGGTTCGATTCCCGCTCACGGCCAACACCGGTGACGATTATTTGAACCGGTCCTGGGCCTCCCCTAGGTCGACTCAGCCTCAATGAGTACCTGGTGCATAAACATCGCCACTGGGGAGACAAAGGCGGTCGGGCGTGGTGCTGGCCACTCACCCCCCCCCCCCCTTGTTTGCCGTGCCGGCCTTCATCGGTGCTCGCTAACAGCACTTGCCCCAACAGTCTGTTAAGGCTATATGGGTGATCTTTGTCTTTGTGTTCCGTGCTTGAGTACCCTTATGTGTATAAGTAAGTGCCTGCCAGATTGTAGCACTTAATCCACCAGCTTCACAAACATTCCCTACCTTTTTTTTGCTCCATCTCAACTAATCTGCAACCTACATAGCTTAAGCAGCCCTGCTGTTTAACCGTGAATACCTCGTCGCAATCATCAGCACTCCTCTCTTCCTTTTATAGTAATTTCTTCTGAATACATCTTAGAATAGCATTCATGAGAATTCGTGATATCGGACGATTTTTTGCTGTTTTAAATATATATTGTGATTTGTTCCTATATAAATCCGTTGCCAAATAGATGTTTTTTTGCATGCACCGGCTAAATTGACCTTCGATGTCACTGTAACTCGCAGCTTCCACACGTGAAATCGCCATGCATGTGCAATAAGTAGAACTCTACTACAGCTTATTCGTTTGTGCCAGGCTTACCAGTGGAAAGCACGGACAACGATGGCATGCGATAGCCGTAGGCCACGTGATGAGATCCTAATCTTACGCCGTCACTCTGACTACTGTGTAAGCAAATCGGAGGTGTTGTAACTTCGCTGTGCACCTGAGCGTGGTCGTTCTTAAGTCGTGAAGCAAACAGGGCATTGTAAATATATAATCACGTTTCTCCTTTAAAGAAACTCTGCCCGCCATGCCGAGCTTGTCATCTACCCGGCGGTTTGGACCTCGACATGGCGTGTGAGATTGGGTTAAAAAAAAATTTGACGTACAAATCCTTTGGGTTGAATTCAGGGCCTTTTTTTTCTTCCTGTCAAGATATAAACACGGACCCGCAAGATCTGTTTGGAACCTCTGCCGCATCGATCGGGTCAAAGAAACGTCTCGCGAGATAAGGGATGTATAGTATGATCACGTCGCAAACTTGACACTGTGAACATCTGTTCACCCATTGACCAAGAGTCTTGACTTTTTAAGCTTTAACCGAAACGTGACTGCAACTGCTCCCTCACGCCACCACCGGCAGAAGGGCCTCCACTCGAGGGAGCTCCACAGAGTCTCTCTCTCTCTCGACGATAAGTCATTTGGTCTACTCTTCCACTGTGGCCAGACATTTCGATAAAAAAAAGGATCAATAGTGCCCACACTTTACCCTGCCACTTGCGACCGGCCAATAAACTTCAACTGTGGGGCGTTCCCATGAACACTGCTGGGTTAGACGTAGGCGGGTCAATTTGAAAAACCGTAGCTTATTGTTTTAAAACTGCCGACGCAGCGAGCCCATTTGTTACACCACGGCGGGATCCCCTTGAACTGAACTGTAACGATGAAGACAGAGTGAACATTGTTTAACCCCTCTTTGTTAATCGCAGTACACATTTTCACAGGGGTTGGGCAGATATCAGAGAGTGGGCTCTAACTTTGATGGGTAGCGGAAGAAAATGCGGCAAATTCCGTTTGTTGTATTGCACTTCTGCGCTCCCACTTATATTCTACCCACCTCCAAGCTACACTGACCGGCATGCTGAAGTATGGTCATATCACCCGGGGGGGGGGGGGGGGTGGTGGGCAGAGGCCCTCAGTTTGCAGTGGACTGACAAAGGGCTGTACATGTGCACATTGATGTGACGGCGTGCATTTGGCAACTTGCGTGGTTTAAAATGCGTACCCTATTGGTTTCAACGGAGTCCCCGGGGCGTCGTGTTGACTTTACGTTGAGCGTAGTTTGGGTTCATCGCCTCGTTTCACGAACTGTGGGAGAGGACAAGTTTACAACCCTAATGGGTGGTGGAAATCCAACTTTCTCTTTGAATTGTGATGTGCGCTGGTGAATTCATTGTAATCTCTGTGCACTGCTTAGCAAAATTTTCTACGTAAAACCCCACCAGCCGTTTTCTGTACACGGCTGGATGAAAGTGCCTCCCGTTCTTGAAGGCCAACAATGTCCTCTCGCCGCTTTTAACAACTGCAGTCATATTTGGCGGTCCGTGCGCTCCAATTTCATCACTCCCATGGCGCGCGAGCTGGCAGCCCTTCCAGAACTGCTGTAAAAGCTCATCGGCATAAAAGTTTCGGGTTTTGGATATGGATTCAAGGATTCTTTTGTGGGTTATTGTTGTCGTTTGCCAGTCCTTGTGTTGTGGGATTGTGGCTTTTAAAAATCCCCTTTTGTTATGTCCACACAGCAGCCATTCACGTGCCAGGGACCACAGGCTACCGTTTTCTGAACCGCCCGGGACGAAGCTATTTTTAATATTCTAAGTGGTGATGTTTATTAAAACAAACTTTGACAAAAAAACGCACACATGCACAGCAATAAAAGCGAGGCCATCGGCTTCGTGCATTTGTTTAAAGTGGCTTCTTCATCGAACGTGCCATCATGTGTCTTTTCTTTCTCTCTCTCTCTGGGATCTATACGGGATAGCCAGCTTAGAAAACATAAAAAAAAGGAATTAACTCCAAACTTGTTCTAAGTACTCGCAAGTATTTACCTTGCAGTGCATTATTTGTTCCGTCACTATGAGTGTTTGACCTTAAACACTGGCAGTGAGCAAATAAAGTTTAAATAATTACGGTGGCCTTAGTCATCATGGTGTGTGCCCAGTTTGGCCTCGGGCTCAAGGTAAGCCGAATGTTCAGTACAAAGACATCTGATAATACATTTAGCTTTGGGTCACTTTGCAAAATCGGAAAGATAAACTCTTGTGCCCACAATGATCTTTCCCTAAAACCTGTCAAAAAATGAGTTAATTCCCGTCTGAAAGGATTTACAGGAACTGCTTTCATCTCTGTTTGTGGCTTTACAAACTAACAAAAACGTTTAAAAAAATTGTACATTTGTTTTGCGAATAACTCCAGCATCCTTCTTTGGTGTATTGCATTTTAACACGTGGGCTTTCGCGACCAATAGTTTTTTTTTGTTAGATCTCGTAGATATTTAAACCCACCACCACACCACACAGCCAATTCGCAATGTTTTGTTTACGTGACAAACCTCACAATTGGCTGTGTCGGGTGGTGGCGGGTTTAACAAAACATTGATATTTATGCGATCTAACCCGACAAAACCCTCGTAGATTGCATAGCATTGTCAAACACTGTAGAAATGACATCTACAATAGCTTTATTCATTCATAAGGTGTCTGGAAAGATTTAAATAAGTACATAATGTGTGTGCATATATGCTTTTGAACTTGATAGCATGTGCTGTTCTCTCGCTGGACATTGAAATCCACGCTGCAACACACTGCTTTCATTTTACTGATTCCAGCAAAGGCTTTGGGTGATTGAAATTGTATGCAGTGTAGTTGTCAGTAATAACATACACGTGCTTGTGTTTTTTCCTGATAAAACTGCTGTGCACGGTGGATATTTTAACTTGTGATTGTTTTTGTTTGCGTTTTTTGGGTGACGGCTTAATTACCATTCGGAACGTTCCAAATACAAACTTTGTGAAAACGTCTCCGGGGGATCCGAAGCAGATGTGAACAAATGTTAAATCATCTTCGCATGAATCTGTTCACATAAGAATGCACGAAAAAAAAACCTACCTTAGAGCTCATTTTTTCATTACACTGCTGGATGAAGGCCTACTCAGGCCCTGTCAGCCAATGCTCGCGCATACTTCACTTTGCCGGACAGTGCCGCTTTGTAAC